ACCATGTTAGACCCCTAACATATTAGCCCCCCCCCCATTTTCCTTATTATTAGGTTACTCTATCAGAGTCGGGTTCGGTTCTATTATAGAACTTGCCCTATTAGAGACCACCCTTCTACTACCCTCCTCCCTCTAAACCATACCACCCCTATGTATGGGGTGGTATGGTATGTATGGGGTGGTATGGGGTCTAAACCATACCACCCCTATGGGTGTCTTTATTATAGGACTCTCTATTAGTTCACTCCTCTATTACAGGGCTGGGGCTCTGTTATAGTAAATACGGTAGTGTTACCATTTCAAAAATTATAACGTCATTCTACGCAAAAATTTTTGCTTCTTTTTTTAATGAAGTAAAATTACATATATTAGGTAATAATTTATCCGGCGGAAATTGTATTTTATTTTTATACACAAATTATTTTTATATGCTTTTTTTTGACGAGTGAGAAATGAAAAGAAAAAATTAATAAGATTAGCGGGTAGCTGCTATAAATTATGTATTGTTGTCATTCTTTAGTCATTTTTATTCTTGTTTACTATTTTTAATTTAAAAAATTTTTTTTTAAATTTTTTTGCACTTTTTTTAAATTAAATTTAAATTTTATATGTATATTTTTTTATTTTTCCTATTAACAGAAATTTCTAAAAAAATTTTTTTTTCAAATTTTGTTGTTTGAAACGAGTCTTTAAACAAACTACTTTGCATTTTTAATCTTTTTGTTATGATTTTTGAATAATATTTTTGATTTGTGATTATTTAAATGTTTGTTAGAGCATTAACTAAATATCAAAACATGGCCCATATTTTTTAGAAGGCACAGAATTTTTGCGAATTATTTAAAAATCATCCGTTTGATGTGGGGATATTTTGGTCCATAACTTTTTTTACCCTTAACTGATTTAAATATTTCTTATAGCAATCGAAAGCTCTCAATGTGAGGATTATTCTAGCTAACAGGATTTATTTGACTAGATCATTCTACTAGAGTTATATCTCGATAAGTGTGCGCAATCGAAATTTTTGATTTTTATTTGACTATAACTTTTGGTAGGATGATCTGATCAAATCAATCCTGCTAAATGAAATAATCTCCAAATTCAGAGCTTTCGATTGATATAATTTTCATTTAAATCGGTTACGAATCAAAAAAGTTATGGCCGAAATATTGTTGCGAAACTGAATTTGTCCGAAAAAATAATTTTTGTCCGCAAAACTGAATTTTGTCCGCAAATATAATTTGTCCTCAAAATTAATCTTTAGTAGTTCCACGACTTGTTGATGTTTTTATTTGAATTTTTATTTTCTTTCTCCTTTTTACCCTTCCAATTTTTTTGTTTTTCATTTTGTTAATTGCTTCGTATCAACCTTAACAACAACAAAAAGGTTTTTGTTTGAACGTTCCTTATTTGTTGTTATTATTTTTTTGCTCCTAAATGGACGAATGACGTGATGTTGTAATGGAGGCTTTTTGTGTTGCTGGCCTTACCCCTTTATTTTTTTATTTTTTTACTCCCTATATACATATTTTTCTATTTATTTTCTCGAATTCCCTTTACACCCAATTTTTTTTATTTTTTTCCTTTTTTATTTAAAGCTTGTGGCATTACTCTCCCCGCCCGCGCCTTTTTTAAGGCCTTAAGCTTATTTTTTGCTCATTCCTTTTATATTTAACACATACTTGTAATGTCGTCATTACAACCTTTATACACGGCAAAAAAAGCTTCCTTTAATATCGTCAGTTTTTTTTGAAAATGGAAATTTTAGTCTTTGAACCTATGACACACCTTTTTTAATCATTTTTTGTCAACCTTCGATTAAAAAATAATTTTTAAAAATTTTAATTTTGAGTTGCGGATCCTTTTAGAGATTTTTCAGTTTGTAAACTGTTGAAGCACAAATTGTATCAAATCCGCGTAAAACGCCGTGAAGTTCGTGTAGTGGGCACTGATGCCGTTTCCCCCTCATTAAAGCTCTAGTTCATCAGGTCTTCTATATTCCCACCAAATTTTTTTAACACAATAAAGGGCTCTACACACCCAGAGACCATACCGGACCATTGGTTCTAACTAGACTAGCACCCCGAGCCTTCGGGGGTGGGATCGGGGTTGCCAGAATAGAGCCTTCGAGGTTCGGTACGGGGTTTTTGACAAAAAATAGTCGGGGTTTCGGGGTGCTTCCCTAGTTCTAACATGACGAGCTGGGAGCCTATTTTCATGGATAAGTACCTATGGGGGGAAAACTGCACTAGTACCCATCTCAAGCTGGTTAATCGCCATATTACAACAGTAGTTTTTTAATTTTTAAGCCTTCGACCCCTTTCCTTCCTTCCGATTTGCCGCTAAAAATAACTATGACCTTTAATATTTTTTTCTATTTTTTGTACTTTATATTTTTAATTCTTTCTATTTTTAATTTTATTTTTAGCATATTACTTTTTCTCATGCTTAAATCCGTTTTTAACTATTCTTCTATTTTAGGGATGAATTAAATAAGAGGGTTTTTCTCATTTCCTTTTTTAATAGGAAAAGATTTTAAGTGCTCACGCTGAGAGCTAAATTTTGACATTTGCGGACTATATTTGCGGATAAACCTGAAGCCTATTGGAATTAGCGGCCATGGAGTCATGCTTAGCATCAGAGGTGGGTCGGAATTCCGATTTCCGACTTCCGATTTCCGATTTCCGACACCTCTGACTGTTCCGACCCACCTCTGCTTAGCATAGGTGTGCCGTAACTGATTTTGAAAGGCGAAAGACGGAAGACAAAAGTCAATTTAAAAAATGAAAGACAAAATGCGAAAACGCGAAAATCAATTTATAAAGCGAAAGATGAAATGGCGAAACGCCAAAAAAAGGTAAAACGGCACCCATAATTAATGTGGGTGGATCCGCAGGATCTGAAAAAGAGGCCGGATATCCGGAAATCTCCGGTTCGGATACCGGAAACGGATATCCGAAGATTTCGGGTTAGATAGCGTATCCGGATCTCCGGAAATCTTCGGCTCGGCTATCGGATCCGGATATCCACGATTTCCAACTATCCGCCAACCTTAATGCCTAATGCCTATTAACTTACCATATTTTTTATTTTTCTGGCTTATTTTACGTCTAAACCGCAAATTTTAGTCCGCAAGAGTTTTCAACCTTATATAAAAAAAAGTAATATCTTTTTTCTCTCAAAAAAGGAAATTTAACCATAATAGGAAATTGGTGTGTTTCTAAATTGAATTGCAAAAATAGAATTGAAAAAAAAAGTAAAACATTTTTAAAAAAATTTAATTTATTCTGTGTATACATTTTTTTGAATAATTTTGTTTAAAAAATTATTAAAAAATATTTTTTTATATTTTTAACTGGGAACATACATATTAAAAAAAATTTTTATCGAAATTCGCGTTATTTTTAACTCATTTTTGCTTTATTTTTTTCTAATTAAAAATTTCCCTCCATTCATTTTCTCATTTGTTTTTGTTCCTCACCCGTTGACAATTTCTCTTTAATTGGAACAAAATTAATTGTTTTTGGAACATCTTGAAGGGGTGATTCTCCATATTTGAAATAAAAAGCTTTAAAATTTTTTTCACTCGTGCCAAACCGACCCCGAACATCCTAACATCTCACGCCTTTTTAGCCATGTTCTTATCTTTCGATAAATATATTGTTTTTTATTATTACTAGAGATCGGCACGGGAGGGATCCAATACGGGATTTGACAGGATCCCATCTCGGAATTCCTAGAGTTAAGCAACGAACGGGATTTGCGAGCTTAATCCTTGTGATCCCTCCCCTCCTCCTTCCATTCGATCTTTTTAAACCCAATGTATTTTAATTTTAAATTTAAGTCTAATTAATTTTCGTACTAAGATGGGACTAAAGATGGGATATAAACAGATTAGAAGTATTTAAAAGGGATTTTGGGGGTTTAAAAGAGATATAGAGGAATTTATTGGGATTAAGGCCGATATCACTGGTTTGAGAGGATTAACAGAGATATAAAGTTATTTGGTTGTATTAAGATGGAGATCATTCGATTTGGAGAGATATCATTAGATTTTTATCTCTTTATATCAACACTTAATCACTTTATATGATCACTGACCGATTGTCCACTGACGCATTGTCCGGGAGCCTTAATTTTAAACCCAATAAACCTAAATTTTTTAAATCCAATGGAAATGCAATTTTGCCTATCTCTTATAATTTTTCTCTATTTCCATTCAACCCACCATCTGATTTTATATTTTTTTCAATCTAGGTACATATTTTTGTTCCGGTTTAATTTTTAATCATTGACCGCGTTTTTATTCCTTTTTCTATTTTCATTTTTAATTTTCCCCGTTATAATTAAATCTGTTTAAAAAATTAATTTTTTTTCAATTTTTTAGATTAAAATCACTTTTTGTGTTAGCGCAAAAAGTTTGGCGAACAACTACAAAATAATTTAAAAAAATTCTCTACCTGGCGTTCGCCAATTGCGCTAGAAAAAAAGAATAAATTAAAATAAATTTAATTAAAAATAAATCTAAATCTTTATTGTATGTTTTCTGTAAAAAATTTATTATTTAAATTTTCCTTCTTTTGCCAACAACCACAAAAACAACAGAACGCCAAAACAACGCTAAAATAATTTTTAAATTAAAATTTTAACTAATTTTGGTTGTCTATTGCTATTCTTATTTAAAAGACAATTTGCTTTCCTATTTTGGTATTTGACTGAATTGAAAAAAAAGACATCTTAAAACTTGGACAGGTGTTTTTTAAATTGAATTGGTTCTTTCATTGTTAAATGTACATGTGTGGTTTTATTTAAATTTACCCCTCGGTATTTTTTAAATGACAGTCTAGCAGTCAGGGTTTCTTTATCTAATGTCCTATCGTTTGAAAGATCTTTATTTTCGAGATGTAAATTTATGGAGCAGAGCTGTTTCTAAGAAGAAGCTTCAAAAATTGAAAATATTACTAGGATTGTGGGCCCGATCCGAAAGATCGAGTCGGGCATTGAATTTTGGCCCATAAAGACTCGATGCCAGACTCGATAAAAATGAGGCCCGAAAAATGGCTCGAACGTCGGCCAGTCTCGCAAACCCCAACCCTAATTATTACCAAAAGTAATATTAATAACCTCAAATCATATAAATTTCGGACCTCAAAAATATATGTAAATTTCGGAACAATTTTGACGGGGGATTTTAAAGTTTCTGAAAAATTGCCTGAGAATTCTTGGTAGAATTCTTGGTATTCCTGCTGTTAAAAAAATTTTTTTCCTCTACTTTTGTTTTTTTCAGAATGATATCCACTGCTTCTCCTTCCCCCTCTTCTGTTCCCATCACTAATTCTTCTGGGGATTTGTCAAATAAAACAACAAATATTGCAACTCCAAACAGCAATATTAAAAATAGAAAAAAGCTGTTGCCAACAAACCAAGCAACAAATGACAGAAATGTTTTGAGCCAGTCAAGAACTGTTGAGGTAGTTTGTTTGTTCCTTGGGAGCGCCCAAAACGGCGCGCGGCCATAGCGGCGCAAAGCCATAACTTGCTTCAAGATTTCTGAATCTTAACAAATTTAGTATTAAACGACTCTACTCATCGAGCTAAAGAGATTAATTCCAAAATTGAGAAGGGCCAGAAATTTTCCAGCTAGTTATGACTTTGCGCCGTTATGGCTTTGCGCCGTTTTGGGCTGTACCCTTTTTCCTTTCTAAACCTCCAAACATAACGCCAATTTTTTTAGTTTGATCGTTCACATTCGGTAGAGTCTAGCATAGCAGCGTCTGTCCCTTTGAGAAGAGCCTCGTGCGCTTTTGATCATAGACAACAACATCATAAGCCAGGGACGCCTCCATATGCAAACAATCATAATCATCAACAACAGTATATTCAACAAAATGGTAATATTTCGGAGCGGGCCCTAATACTTTCTAAAAGTCGTCGAAATGTCGAACCGGGGTTTTCGGCTTTTAAGTTTTTGCTTCTAGGGATTTGTATTACTACGGTATTGTATTATGGCCGTTAGGCTTTGCGTCATTTGGCATTATGTCGTTTGCCATTATATCTGTCTGGCATTACGTCGTGTGCCATTACATCGTTTTAGTATTACGACAGCATACCTAATTTAAATTTCACGAATAAGCTTCATTGTTTTTTAGGAGTCCCTCAACACAATCACCAACATGATTCTTCTGATTGTGGTTCAAGTTCTGGATTGGGCGGTATGGGGACTCCTGTTAAGGGTAAAGATTTTGTTAATTTTTCAAATTTAATTTTTGATAATTTTTCTAGGCTTATCCGGTTCTTGTTCAGCCTCCTCCAACAATTCCATGGCTGCGGATAGTAACTCGCACGAATCGCAAGACAGTTGCGTCCCAATTTCTAGTCCTGGTGCTGCTATGGCTGTAGTTCATGAATTGAAAGGTAACCCAAATTCTGGCCAAAACAACGCTGCTGTGGCTACTACTCACCGTTCTTTGGTAGCCTCTGCAACATTGACCCAGTCAATGATATCTTCGCAACAGTCAACCACTACAATTTCTCCGGTTTCTTCAATCCCTACATTGGTGCAACAACAACACCAGCAGCAACATTATAATCAGCATCAAACACCTATACATCCATATCATCAACAATCCCAACAACAAATTATTTTCCCCTCTCCTGCTGCTGCTGGTCCTACAAATGCTTTTGCTATAAATGGAAATTTTCATCCTCACCATCAGCAATCACCCCATCAACAACAATTTGGTGCCTTCATTCCGACAGTAACAGCTCCCCCGTCAAATGGGCAACAACCTCCGCCTCCTCCACCCCTTCATCTTGTTCAGCAACATATCCCGCAGGCGAATCAAAATTCGCATCATCCTTCGCATAATGCTATTACACAAATGAGTTTGTCTTTGAATTTAAACAAATTTTTCTAATTTTCCCAAATTTTAGATGCAATGCAAGCTGCAGCTGCTGCTGCCGTCGTTGCAATGCAAAGTGGAAATTTAGGCCCAAACCCTGCTATCGGACAACCGCTTGGTGCCCCACCTCTCTACTGTGCTAGTGCGCCCCCTCCTCTTGGTGATGTTCTTCAACGAAGAACGCCTGCTGCAGAACAGCAACATCTTCAATACAATTCGCCTCATGGCATGGGATGCGCCTTCTACACTATGACATGTTTGTTTTTTATAAGTATCGGGGGTGTGTCGTTTCGCATTTCGTATTTTGTCAAAATTTCGTCTTTCCCGGTTTCGTGTTTCGCTTTCTCAAATTAGCTTCGGCACACTCCTGATATATGCAGATTTTTATCAAATTATCATTTTAAAGGTGAAAACGCCGCATTAGCCTCTGTCGGTGCAGCAGCAGTAACTGCAGGTTATCATGTAACGCTTGAGCCGTCTGCTTCTGCCCCACCTGTTGTTGTAGGATTACAACAAAATAACAACGAACCTTCATCAACTATTGGACAGCATGTTTCCTCTTCCCCTGCTGCTTCTTTAGTATCTTCTGTATCGTTACCAGTTTCCTGTGCTGCTACTACTGAAGGAGAAGGAAGAGGAGGATCGCAAGAAGGTGAACAACAAAAATCTCAACAGCAACAAAGATGCTCTCCTCCTCCAGGTTTCGGTAATGACTTTTCTAACAATGACTTATGTTTTTGGTTGTCGGTTCAGAACAGAACCGATGATTTTTTGGTTTAGTTCAGTTCCGGACAAGGGCATAGCCAGGGGATCGATTTTAGGGGGGGGGGGGGGGTAAATGGGGTCGGCGAAAAATTTTGGCGTTTGCCCTTGGCTACGACTTTCGTTTCGGATATTGGTTCCGTTCTTCGGTTCGGTTTCGGGACCGACGTTTCTCTAAGAACTGACAACCCTATCGATATTAGTCTTTCATTTTTAACGGAACAATTTTCAAGGGGTTGAAGCTGAAAATCAATGTAAAGTTGATGAAGCTGATAGTATACAGAAAAACAAGCAAAATGAAGTGGGAACTGATAACTCTAATGGAGAACGTCTCCAAAATGATGCACAGGACGTGGGTTCAGGAGGAAGTGCTAGTGGTACAGGAGTCACAAACCATCAAGAACAACAAAACAACAATACCCATAATTCTCAAGAGCATATAACCAATGGACCATTATCATCTCACCCAGCAGAAAATAATAATAACAATAGTGTTCTTTTGCCTGGAATTCCACCAGAGATTGCTGCAGCAATAAATGGAGGACACGATCTTTTCGTTTGTTTTAAACTTTTTTTCTATGGATTTTTGTGGGTCCCCAGGTTTAAGCGTTCTTTTGCCTGAAATCTTCCCACAAATCTTCCCACAAAATTATCATTTTCCTCCTCTTAAAGGTTCACATTCATCCGGGCGATTCAATCTCTCTTGCTGTTGGAAACGAAATTCAGCTTATTCATGGTCCTGCTACAATTAGAATGGTCTCCAATTCAATGCCACCTACAGCAATTCCAATGAACGTTCCTCATGGTCACGTTGTTCAACAATTGTTGGATAGTCAAGGAAATCTTGCACATATCATCATGTCGCAAGAAATGCCGCCACCTCAAGGAATGGGACCAGGACAGCCGCAAATCCATCAGCGTCATTCACAGGTTTTTTTTAATTTTGAATGATTGGAGATTTTTCGTCTTTTAAAGAATTCGCTTCAACCCCAGCAACAACATTTGCAACATCAACAACAGAGGCAGCGGTCAAGTCCAAGTCCTCAAAAATGCGTTACTCCATCTTTGCGATATAGGTCTTCTCCATCTTCGTCTAATTCTCCGCCAGATATGCAACAGGTTTTTTAGCTTCTATTTTTTGTTACTTTTTACCAATAATTTAAGATCCTTTTCGATTTTGTTCCTGAGGTCCACATCTTTTTAATCACAACAAGGCTGTCACGGGTACCTGAGACTCTGACTTTTTTCACAGCCTGTGACTATTTCTTATTCAAGAGTGTTACATATTTCGGACAGTCCTTGAAGATGTGTTTGTTATCTCCGAAATATTTTTTTAAATAAAACCTGTTCCTGACTTTGTGAACGTAGTCGAAAAGAACCCTAATTTAACATTAAAAATTTAAATTTTATTTTCTAAAAAATAGCATGTTCAACAACAACATTCTCATCATAACAGACATAATCATCCATCTCACCAACAGCATTATGCTGCTCTTCCTTATGACCATTCACAGCAACAACAACATTCCGCCAATCTCTCACAACAACAACAACAACAATTTTCTCATTCCAATATAGAAGGTGCTGGAACTCCTTCTGGAGGTAGTGGAATTGGTGCTGGTAATTATGGAGGTGGACATCATCATCAACATCCAAACCCTCTTAGCAAATGGAGTCCTCGTGGAAGTGGAGGTTTCCAATCTCACCAACAATTTGGACGTCGTGCGAATCATAATATGGTATTTCTAAGAGTTTGAATTTTTAAACTGACCCGGGCCAGTGGCTTTTGCAGACTGACTCGGGCCGGGGTTTCTCAGTTAAATCCCGAAACTCTCGAAACCCCGAATTTTATCAAAATACCAGGTTTCCGGACTATACGACCCTTAAAGCCGGTCATGGGCCCGGAAACCCCGGTTCTGGACTCGCCTCCGACCCCGGTCCAGGATCAAAGACTGAAGTTCGCCCGTTGTCGATCCCTATTATTTTTACTAGTGTTTTTATAAAATTAAATATCCCTGATGAAAAATATTTTTTGCAGCCTCCTACTTATTATATGGATCCAATAATTGCTGCAGCACATAATCAGCCTCCCCCTCCTCAACTTTTAAGTGCAGCACATTCTCCTTCAACCGCTCCATTAGGAATTGCCACAAACGTGCCACAATATGGACAATTACAGCAGCCAATGCTTTTGGAGCAACATTTTGAGCATATTCAACCTCAAGCCCAGCCACTTCCACAACAATTTGTCACTCCAATTGTACCTATACCCATTGGAGAAGTAGCAGAAGGGGGGCAATTTATTCAACGTCCAACCCCAACTGCTCCAGGTATGGCTCCGTCTACATTTGAAGACGAAGAAAAGGAGCGTTTGCGTGATTCGATGAGCTCCTTACAACCGCCAATTGTGACGAGAGGTTTTTCTTTAACTTTTTTCTTTTACATATCATAGTTAAATGGGGTCCGTCCTATTTAAGAATGGATGAGTGGATGTGTGCCTGCCAGAGGCACTGAGAGCAATAGGGATCAGGGGTGGGCGCATTGCGTCTTGCGTTAAATATTGCCTTTGTATCGCGTTTTTTGAGATTGTCTCTTGCGCCCACCCCTGATAGGGATTAAGTGTAACTGATCGACCGTAGCCAGAGGATTTTGTAATCAGCTTTGATTTTATAGTTAGCCTTATTGTCGGAGCTCACTTAGTTTTCCTTGGATTTCCTTTAGAGTCTAATATTATTTTTCAATTTTTTCAAGTTGGTGATCGTGATGCCGATGTAGTTTGGCAAGAATTAGATACTTCTGAAGCTGCTGCCTCTCTACCCGGCTTCCCTGAAATTAATCAATCAGAATTTGCATATCGACTAATTTTATATGAACAAAATGCTTCTACTAGTATTTGTTACAAAACTGATGCAAATAGTGGTAATGTATTACATTTACAAAGACTTCGACCTGCAACAGATTACATGGTTTTTTATTATTTTTTTCTAATTTTTTTTTATTTTTTAACCTTCAGATTTGTATACGAGCTGATTTGCCTGGCCATTGTATTGTTGGTCATCCTTCAGCGTATACTACTTTCCGTACCCTTTGTTCACGTCCTGATGCCCCTCCACTTCCCAGGTTGATGGGACGTCAACAAAATTCTGTTTCGTTGCATTGGAGAACTCCAAATTGTAATGGGAGTCCAATCATTGCTTATTGTCTACAGATGACCAAGGTTTATTATTTATTATACTATTTTTAGAGATCGGCCTAAATCCAGACCTTGATTTTTTTTCGATCCGTAATCTATGTCAAGGCATTTTCAGTGTACTCTGATTTTTTCATTGACCTTGATCCCCCCTCCCCTTAAATGGGGAAAGGAAAGAAGGGATTGAGCAAAAAATATGCATTTTGGCCTATAGTGGTTCCCTCTTCCCGAGAAAATTTTTTCCGTCGACGGGCCTGACTCAAGTTCAAGAATCTGGTCATGAATCCTTAAACAAAACCAAGAATCAAGGTCATTTTTCTTAATTTTCGATCTCTAACAATTTTATATAATTTAAAAAAATTTTCTTTTCAGGGAAAATCTGCTTCCTTCGACACAGTTTATGAAGGTCCTCATGATCAAGCACTTGTTGGAGGCTTGGAGCATGGTTCTTTTTATCGTTTTCGTGTTGGTTGTCGAAATGAAATTGGCCATTCTGATTGGTCTCCACAATTGAATGTTTATCCTGAAAGAGATCATCGTCCCAATGTTGGTGGAAGTGGAGGCCCTGGCAGTACTTCATTACATCACAATCAGCACCAAAATCCGCAACATTTGTTTGGAAGCAAAGGTTCATTAGCTAGCTCCCCTTGTTCATCTGTTCAACAACAGCAGCAGCAACCACAACATTTAACTTTACCAAAACCACCAGCTCCCACAATTCTTTCTGTGACGTCTAAAGATGTAAAGCTTTCTTGGAATGAATTACAACCATGCCTTGATTACTTGAATATAACGGTTTCTATTTATTTTTTATTTTAAAAATTAGTTCGGATCCGGGGTTTCCTGGCCAGGCGTAGCTGGACGGCTATTTTAATAAAATTCGGGTTTTCGGGGTTTAGCCAGGATACCCGGCCCGGAAATTTAAAAATATCAAACTAAAAAATTCCTTCCCCTTTTTCAGTTGGAAGTTTCTGATTTTTCTGGACGTGGTCCACATCATTTTACACCAATCCCAGTTGAATTTTATGCAAATTCTGGAACATTTGCTAATGTTACTGGTCTTCAAAGGTTTTCAAAAAATTATTCTAAGTTAAAAATTTTTTTAGTAATCGAGAGTATCGGTTCCGTTTATTAGTTAGTACAGCTAACGGAGAACAACACATGTACTCAGATTTGGTTGCTGTACGAACTCGCTTGCATAATGAACCACAACAACAACCACAACAATTAAAAGAAACTCGTCATCATGAACAACAACAGTTTGAAAGGTCAGAAAGAGTAACTCAACCAACAACAACTCAACCTCCACAACAACAAAGGACTAGCATTGGTTCTTTTGATAATGAAACTCAACAAAAATCGCAGGGATCAGTGGAGTCTCAAAAATCAGCGCCTCAACAACAACAACAATATCGACCAAAAGGAGGAGGAAGTGTTGCTCAACAGCAACAACAACCACAAAAAAGATCAAGTGGCGGTAGTACTTACACTAAAAAACAGCAACAACAACAGCAAAAGAATGGATCAGTATCACAACAACAGCAACAACAAAAGGAGCAGCAACAGGTTTTTTAAAAATATTCTTGGGAAGCCAGGCGTATTGGGACGGATATATCGGGATATTTTAATGTACGGACAGTTATTCTGCTCATTTTGGTACCTACGGCTACTGGGTTTTTTTTGTACGTTGTCCTATTGAAGAAAAGAGTTTTTCTGTCTTATAACCAACCTAAACACTTAAGGGGACCATATGTTTCCCTCCTATTTTCGTCCATTTTTTCCAATTTTCAAAATTTTAGCAACAAACGCTTGATGAAATTGAAGCTCCTATTCAACAAAAACTAGCAAAGACTCAACAGCAACAACCTGAACTCAAACCTCTATCTTGTTCTGCACCAAAATTTTTAGCAATTACTAGTGAAACTGCCAAAATTACCTGGGGAATAAATGTGAGAGGATTTAAATTTTGTTGATTTTTTATTTTTCTTTAAATTTTTAGCAAACTCCAAACAGTCCAAAAACTGGCGGCGCAACCTCTGTTGCAGCACCAATGTTTGAATTACAGCGCGTTGATCGCCAACATCCCAAAATTTATTATGCTGGTTCTGACACTGAATACAAATTGGAAGGACTCCGACCTGTTGAACACTTACAATTTAGAGTTCGAGCAGTACTTCTTGATACTGAGGGGCGAAGATTTGAGGTTAAACTTTTGATATTTTGCACTTAAATTAATTTTTTTGTAGGGCGAATGGTCTCAAGTTGGTTCAGCCTGTACTCTCTGCGGTCCACCAACTGCTCCTCGTGGATTGCGAGTTGAACAAATTCCTCAATCAACCCCACAAACAGAAAATGATGATGATGCGGCTTTTGAAAAAATGTCTAAAAAGGCTTCCACTGCCTCTTCTTCTGCTGCTAGTAATAGTTTTGGACATTCCACACAAGCTGGTCAATCAATTAGTCTTTGTTGGGAATCACCAGCTCATTTGAATGGAGCACCTGTTGTTGAATATACTATACATGCGCACAAGTCTGTTTTTTTTTTATAATTTTTGGATAAAATATGAGTCCTCTGATATCAGGGGATTTGGAGGGATTAATGGGATATCAATAGATTTGAAATGATTGAAGAGCATAGAAATCCTCCCTCCCCTCCCTGAGCTATCGCTCACCCTGAGCTATACAATACAGCACCAGAAGTTCTAAAATACAGAACTGGGTACTTATCCCCCTTAATCCCTCGATATTCCATGTCAAAGGTCTTTGGGGATTTACAACTTTCGAAACCGGCACCGGCGTCAAAGTTAACTCCAAAAAAATCTGAATTTATATTTTTAATAGATCTTTTGCTTCGGATGATAAACAAGATTTAAATGAGGCAGAATTGAAGGAGATTATTAATGAAAGTGAAGAATATTTGCTTGGTTCAACTTCAGATACCAAATTTATAACACCAAAACTTCAATTTGCTCATCGCTTTATTTTCTTGGTTTGTGCTCATAATGAGGCTGGTGCATCACCAAAATCGGAACCGATTGTTTACTTTAGTCCGCCAGGAGTTCCCGATCCTCCTAGAGATATTATGGCTGAGGTTTAATTTTTTAATTTTAAAAAATCAAAATTTTGAAATTTTTAGGCGTTGAGCACATCAGAATTACAAATAAGCTGGACTGACCCGGCAAACAATAATGGAATGCCAGTCACTTATTACCATTTGAATTGCTACAAAATTTTCCGAACATTGGAACACTCTTCTGGAAAGCATCGACAGTTAGTTAGTCAACAGGTATATTATTCTAAAATTTGGGTATAAACTAATGTAAGAGGTCGACTATCTAGTGATCAAATGACCCTGGAGGTCAACTTCAAATATTTGGACGGATTAAGAAGGATTTGTTGGATTAAAACGGATTTGGGGGATTAAGAGAGGTTTCTATGGGGGGAGGGGGATTAAGAGGATTTGTTGGGATTGAGGTGATTAAGGGACACTAGGCGGAAATTTTCTTGAACAATGTCAGATAAGTCAAAAGGTGGCATGCAAATGCCCCGCGTCGTTGCCCTTTATCCGCCAAGATATGTGGAGTTGACTTAACAGGGTCATGTGACCATTGTGAAGTTGACCGCTACACTGTGGAGTCTAAAATTTGTTTAAAAAATATATTTTATTTTTTAAAACAGATTGTTCCTGGCTCTCAACGCCTTTTAATAATTCAATCACTTGAAACTCAAACTGAATACGAAATTTGTTTGCAAGCAGAAAATTCAATAGGAAAGAGTTGCCGCGAATCAGTTAGATGTTCAACAATGGCAAAACCTCCTGAGCCACCAGAATTATTTTTGTCTCAAGCAACCGCAAATACTTTAAAATTGAAATGGAACGTTCCTGGTGGTTAGTTTTTTAGTTTAAAAATTTTTTGAGAAATTTTTTTCCAATTTTCAGATGCTTCTTTAATTAATTATTATTATTATTTGGAAAGAGAAAATGAAAATGGAACTTATTCGCCTGTATATGAGGTTTGGATTTAAAAATTTTTTGGGGGAATTTTGAACTTTGTATGATTCCTTTTTTGTTTTTCCCAAATCTATGGCGATAATCACCTAACTCTAGTTTGGACATATAGGCGTGTGTACCAGAGATGTCACTGGTTGTGAAAAAAGTCGTGTTTCGGGTTGGGTCTTCAAAATATTTTTAACAATAAGATCGGGTTTCTGGTCGAAAAGAGCCCGAGTTCCAGATAGCAGATAGCCTGACATCCTTGGTACAACACCCAACGCTGGATTAGGTTCTATTTGCAGAAGCTGGTGATTTGCGTCGTAGATTGTGGTACACACGCACAATACCTAGTCATGTCCTTACGCACAGAGCTGGGTACCTATATCCATTAATTTAGGGATAAAATAAATGGGATTATACACGTTCACAATTCCCAATGCTGTGTATTTTTTAAAATTTTCTCCTTATTTTCAGGGTGATTTGAGAACTGCCAAAGTTAAAGGATTGAGAGAACTTACAATGCATCATTTCCGAATTCGTGCAGCCCTTTCAAAGGGAACAATGCTTGGTACATGGTCTACCCGTTATTCATTTCAAACAACTAGACAACCTCCTGCTCCACCTAAACAAGTTTGAAATTTTTTAAATTTTATTTTGGAATTAAATATCTTTTCTTTTTAAAGGCTCCAACAGTTTATGAACTTTCTAATGACCTTTTCAATTTTGAATGGATCGCGGCTCGAGGCAAAGATTCTTCTTCTGCAGATATTCAACGGTTAGATGCTGGAGGATCTTCCTCAGCCAATGATTTCCAAAATTCACAGATTATTTATCGACTTCAGGTTTTAAATATTTAAAAGGAACTACGTTTAGCCTGAGATTAGGGTTGCCGTTTTCGAGTCTGACCGACGTTCGAGTCATTTTTTCGGGCCAAAATTCGATGACCGACTCGATCTTTCGGACTGGACCGGGCCGGCAACTCTACAAGAGATGGGCAAAAACCGCTTTCCCGGGATCCCGTAAATTCATTGAATTTTAAAAACTCGAACGGGAGAGAGTTACTCCCGTTCGTCGCTTAAACCCCGTGATTCCGGAACGGGATTCTGTAAACTCGCATACGGGCTACTCTCGTGCCGACTTTTAATTTTATCAAAAAAAATTTGGAATCAAAATTCAAAAAAATTTTACTATTATTTTTAAATAAGTTTCAAAAAATTTTTCAGATTGCACCTAAAGTTGCTTCATCAGCAAAAGAAAAATCGGTTGTTGAAATATGGAAAACTGTTTATGAGGGGGTAAATTAACAACAAAAAAATTTTTCAATTTAAAATTATTTTTAGGCAAATACTTGTTTTACCCTTTCAATTCCAAATACAAACCAACAACCCCGACAAGCACGTCTTTTTATTGTTCAACAATTTTTTGACAATAATGATGGACATTTGTTAGATGAATGTGTTTCTGCCCCGTCCTCTATTGTTGTTTTTTCTTCACAAAAGTCGCCTAATGAATCTCCCAAGAAACGAGCTATTCATGGAGGAAAAAATTCTTCAGGTTTTGATTTTGATACCTTTTTAAGGCTCCAAACAGTTTCCAACGATTAAGAAGGATCTTAGGGGATATCAATGGATTTGGGGAGAGGGGGGATTAAGTTGATATAAGAAGATTTTTTACTAGAGAAATATCAGTAGACGGGGAGGTATATCTCTGGATTTAGAGGGATAAATGGGAACCATGGGATTTACTGGTTAAAGGGATATCTGTGGACAGAGAGGGATATCTGTGGATTTGGAGGGACAAAGGGGAAATTGGGGGATTGAATGGGTTAGTTGAGTTCGGGGAATTTCCGCAGTATCATCCTTATATCCCCTTGCAAAAAATTTTTTTCAGGTCCATCAACTAGTGGTGGTGGTGGACGTGGACGCCAACAACAGGCAGCCGTTCATTATCCAAATCCTAAGGAAACTAAAGTTACAATGTACAAAAGATTAAAACGATTTGGTAGTTGGATACGAAAGACTGCATCAGAGAAGGATTGTGCCTTAATTGTTTTGGTATATATTTTTTAATTTTTTATGGTTTAATTTTGGGACTTTCCATGCCCGGATTTTGCGATCCATCAATTTTTAAGTTCCTGGAAAACTAAGTTGATATTTGGATCAAAACCTAAAACCATTTGAAATTATGGGGGTTAGTCTCTTATTTGTAGAATAACCTTTAGCTATTCTATTAAACAACCTGCCACGGGCTGGGAAAGAAAGTTGAGTCTGTTTTTCAACTACTGTTTCGGATCTAGGAGGATTAAGAGGATAAGAATCAGGTAGTGTTCGGAGTATACTCTCGAAATTTTCTTGGGGCGGGTTTTAGGTACCCGTGCCATCCCTTCCCTACTTACAAGATGCTAGAAATATTTTTCTAAAATTAAATTTTTTAAGACACTCTTTGTGATCCTAGCTTTTGGAATAGCTATTCTATTAAACAACTACTATTTGAATTGAATTAAAATTTTATGTGCTTCCTACAAAAATCCCAATCTTTTTTTAAAAAATATTTATTATTCCAGTGTTTGTATAAATCGTGCTGCAAACTCTGTGCTTTCTACGTCTCTAATATTTTTTTCCCTTTTAATTTTTCTTTTAATTTTTCTATTCAAAAATTATTTATTTTCTAAAAAAATTGGTCGTATCTGCATTTATTTTTATAAATAGACTATAAATTAAATTTAAAATATATTTATTTTTTTCCTAGTTTTTTTTTGTTTAACCACCAAATTTTATTGTTTTTTAGAACATATCCTTTTTTTAATCTTTTTAATTTTTTCTTCCTATTTTCCATAATTTTGTGTCTTAAATTCTTTCATAAAATTATATTTCCCATTGAATTTAAATTAAATTTAAAATTTAATTAAAGATAAAATATTTGGCGCTAATAAGGAAGGAAAATAATGTAAGAAAGAATTAATCTTTAGTTCCCTTTATCTGCCTAAATAGTTGGATTTGGTTTTTAGGGTCATTTGACCTTTAGGGTGATTTGACCTTTTGGAATAGGCTCATACTAGTGGCCGGCAAAATGTCCTTTTCGGAGTTGGATTCAGATTTCGTATTCCTAACTAGAACCGGTCTGGATTTTTCTGCATTAATCCGGTCCGGAACTACTCCTGAGATCGCGAGAAGAAACAGACTTGGGACCCTGGACTACGGAAAAATCCGGCCTGATCCGTTCCAACACAGGTCATTCACTATTTATATTTTTCCTTCCTTAATTAAAAATGTTGGTAAAATCTATTTTTCCCAGTCAGTTTTTATTCATTTTTTATTTAAAAATTCATTTTCCCCCGTAATTGTGTATTCCTGTAATTTTATTAATTTTTTCTCTTTTTATGTTTGGTGCTTAAATTTACTTAAAAAATGTTTTTTTTCTTTTCTTAATTTTTAATCCAACCATTCATTTTAATTTTAAAATTTCCACTTTTTTAATTTAACTAAAATATAAATTTCTGAGACGTTTTTAAAAAAAAAGAATATATGTATTGAGATGAGATTATTGTGATATATTCGATAATTTTATACATATAAAAATTTAATTTTAATGTATTTTTTTATTTTATATTTTTCTTTGTTTTTTACCACAAATATAATATTTTTTAAAAAAATTGCGGATAGAAATTTGCAAAAAAAATTTTTTTTAATAATTAATTTTTCAGAATTTTTTAAGTTTGAATTTAAAAGAAAATTAAATTTTGATGAATATTTCTGTTCTGTCGCTCCGATGAATTTTTGGTTGGTTCTAAAAATGCTTTTAGTGCGCAACTTTCAAGGACCCGACTTTTGTGGATAGGTAATTGACATTAGATTATGCATAAAGGGTGTTGGTTCCTATTTTTCTGATCTTGATTGTTTTCTTTTGTTGGCCGGTTTGCTGTATTGGATAAATTGATTAATTTTAATTTCTGTTGGATAGAAATCATGAATCTCCTTTTTAGCCTCAGCATATAGTTATTTTAAATTGAAAATCTTATAAGTTTGCTTGTGGTGTACACTCTGTAACAAAATGATAGCGCCACCTAGTTTTTTATCAATATCTCACCAAATATGAAACGGATATGTTTCAAATTTTGGTTGAATATAGGTAAGGATATTATGTATCAATATTGAAAAGAAAAAGTTTGTTGAAATTTTTTGAAAAATTTTATAACAATAAATTTGATTTTTGAGTGTAACAAAAAGATAGCGCCACTTGTATTTTCGACCTTAGGGGTGATCCGAAAAATCTGCAAAAATCCCTGTAAACATATCCATTGATATGTATAGAAAATAAAAAAGAAATGAAGTTCTGATGTACTTCCATCATCGAGATCTGGAAACCCGAATATCAACGGAAACCCGGGGGTAGACGTATTTAAAAAATATTTTCGAGCCCTTACAAGTAAAATAAAAATTTCATTTTGGGCTTATTTAAAAGCCCTTGAAATTTGCTACAAGTTAGTTTTTATCTCATAGCCCAGAAAAAATTCTTTTTTGAGAAATAATGAGTTAAGTTTATAAGTCACATTTTCATCACTTTTTGGGGGGCGTTTGAGTGATTTTTATGACATGAAAGTTTATCACATTATGTTTTAAAGGTAAATTTTTTTCAGTAAATAAAATTGATGCTATCTTGTAGCAAATTTCAAGGGCTTTCAAATGAGCCGAAAATAAAATTTTTATATCACGTGTAAGGGGTCGAAAATATTTTTTAAAGACGTCTACCCCGGTTTTCCGTTGATTTTCGGGTTTCAAGATCTCAATGAAGGAATTATATAGGAACTTAGTTTCTTTTGTGTTTAGTATAGATATTAATAGATATGTATACTGGAATTTTTTTAGATTTTTCGGACAACCCCTAAGGTCAAAAATACAAGTGGCGCTATCTTTTTGTTACACTCTAAAATCAAATTTATTGTTATAAAATTTTTTTTAAATCTGCATTAAACTTTTTATTTCCATTATTGATACATAATATCCTTATCTATATTCTACCAAAATTTGAAACAGATCCATTTAATATTTGGTAGGATATCGATAAAAACTAGGTGGCGCTATCATTTTGTTACAGAGTGTATTGGTTAGTGTTGTCGACTACAGCTGTTTCTGATGAGAGTTCGAGCCCTTTGCGGGGAAAATTATTTTTATGAGTCCATTTTTTAGCTTAAAAATTTTTTCAAATAAGAAGGATAAACATGAGCCCCTCTAATAATTTTAAAATATACAGGGGATTATAAAAATCCCCCTTTCCAAAAATTTTAACTACTATACTACCACTATTAAATTATTGATTGTTGGATAGTATAGGAGACTGAATTTATTTAGCAATATTATTTTAAAATTATTAGATGGGGAGCGCATGGGAATCTTTTTAAGCATTATTTTTTGCTTTCCTTTCCTTTGTATCTAACTCTTTATTTTTCTCTTTCTTTTATTTTTCTATGTTTATGAAAAGACAAAAGAGAACCCCATATTTCGCCGATAAGGCTAAAAATTGACGTTTTGCCACACAGTCTGTTGGCAAAACGTGTATTTTTACCCTTATTGGCAAAATATGGTTTTGGCAAATGATTTTATACGAGTTTAACTTTTTTATTTTTTGTTGTAGAAAATTATTTTGCAAATTTTTTTTTTGATTTTTCAATTTTTTATTTAAGCAATTAATGAAACAATGATTAAATTATGAACGAAATAAATTACGAAAAGGCACACTTGCATTGGAGTTCAGTAACCAGCAATGTGGATGGAATGCTTGGTGGTTTTGAACAGTTGCATTCAACAGATATAAATACTTCAAAGCAATTGTTGGATTATTTGACTAGAAAGGTTTTTTAATTAAAATTGAATTTTGAGGAAATTTTTTGGGTACTATGTAATTAAGGGAGGGCCATATCTGCGGTTATTTTGGCGGGTTTGCTGACTTTCCCTTGTTTTTTGACGCCTGGTAGTCAACTGTCAAGGGAACTTTGTTCAATATTCAGCGAATAACCCCCTTCTCTCGCCCCTAAAAATTTTCCTATCATGAATAGCCCTCCCTTCTTTGATAGCATCAGTTTCTGTTTGAGGAGTCTGTCCGCAATAATATCCATTCTAGGCGATTTAAAATCCTATGTGATTTTTGAGGAACGAACATTGTTATTTTGAGTTACTCATCCAATGGCCGTTCGATTTTCGGCTGCAAATATTTTACGCCTAATTTTATTAGCGGATAAAACCTGCGGATGTTCAGAAAAATTTCAGTTGAGAAAATTTTATTTTTACATCTATCATTTTATTTCAGTTTGGGTATTGTGACTTATAGGGGGTTTTTGTTGGCTGGACCGATTTCGACAAATGAGGTGTCATTCGAAAGAGCTCGCCGAGCTGAGTCGATCCCGCGGGGGAAGAAGTCGATCCGACAATCAGGGACCGAGTTACAGACCCCTGAAGTTTGAAAAAGAGAAGGGGGGAGTAAGCTCATTTTGGGATGAAAAATTCGAAAATGCAAATAATAGCTCATTCGACTCGGCTCGTCGAGCTGAGTCGAATGACACCAAAATCACCGAAATGCGACTTGATTGGACAAAGTTATGATCGTTTGTATTAGCTCCTTACCTATAGTCATTGTTGAAGTTTTTGCTGCTACGGAGGCCCCAAGTACGTACAGAGTAAGAGAAATAGGAATAGGGTTATGTTACTGACCCAGACCCAGCGACCGTTGACGCCCCGCGAGGCGCGTGCCGCGAAACCCCGCGCGAAGCGCGGGGTTTCGCACAAGCGCCTCGCCGACGCTCCATAGGTTTATGTTGACCATTTTGAACCTGTTTATCTTGGCTCAGAATCAAGATATCGAGCTGATTTTGGTGTCATTCGACTCAGCTCGACGAGCCGAGTCGAATGAGCTATTATTTGCATTTTCGAATTTTTCATCCCAAAATGAGCTTACTCCCCCCTTCTCTTTTTCAAACTTCAGGGGTCTGTAACTCGGTCCCTGATTGTCGGATCGACTTCTTCCCCCGCGGGATCGACTCAGCTCGGCGAGCTCTTTCGAATGACACCTCATTTGTCGAAATCGGTCCAGCCAACAAAAACCCCCTATAAGTCACAACATTCTTCAGTTTTATAATCTTTTCCTTATTTTTAAAGCAACTTTTAACCAAATTTGAACATGCATTGGATTGCGGAAGTGGAATTGGACGTATAACAAAACATTTGCTTCTTCCAAAATTTAATTATGTTGATATGGTTGATTTTGCTGAAACGGTTTTGTTTTAATTTTTTTGTTTTTCAAATTTTTTTTTAGTTTATTGAACAGTCAGAGAAATATATTGGTTCTGAAGGAAATTCTCGTGTTCAAAATAAATTTGTCGAATCCCTCCATACTTTCAAACCAAGCCCAAATTTTTATGATTTGATTTGGATACAATGGGTGACTGGACAATTATCGGATGATGATTTGACTAATTTTTTGAGGAGATGTAAGGTTTGTTTATTTTATTGTCTCTGGGAATTTTGGGGTTAGTTGTGGGGATCTTTTCACGAGTCAAGAATAGATATGAGGTTGGTCACTTTTCTTTTCTGCTTATAGCTGTTATTTTAGAAATTCTGTTAATTGCTTCGGTGGTGTAATGGTTAAGACTTTCGCCTACATTTATTTTCGATGAGGATTCGAGTCCTCTTGGCTGATAGCTATTTTATTTCCCTTTTTATTTTACTCGGAATATTTTTTTCAAATTTTCCTTTCAATTCCTCAATTTATTTTTTAAATAAAGGATTAACTAAAAATGGCTGTATTATTATAAAAGACAATATAACAAGTCGAGATGAAGAAAGAATTTTTGATGAATGTGACAATTCGTGGACAAGGCCTTCAAATGAATTACGACTGTTAATAGAAGCTGCTGATTTAAATATTGTTTTGGGGAGAAAACAACTTTTCTTTCCTAAAAATAATTTTCCGGTATTTTTTTAAATTTTTTTTCATTATTTTTTTATATTTTTCAGGTTTTTATGTTCGTCTTAAAACCTTCAGATATTATTTGATTTTTTGCGGACAAATTTTCAATTTATTTTTTGTCAATTTTGTTTTAATCCTCTTCAATTTCATTTACGAATTTCTGAGATATCCTTGCTGTTTAGAATTCTCAAAAATCAGAAAAAAACTTTGCGGACTAAAAAATCTGTAAATTTTTTGCGGAAATTATTTTGAAAAATCCGCAAATTTTTTGCGGATTTTAAGTCTTTTTTGTTTCTTTTAGAACATTGGCCAACTATTTTTAGATTTTTTGAAAGAATACTAAACGAAAATTGTTTCCCGTTTTGAGATTAAAAAATTGATTTTTCTTTTTATTTGTCCTCGCTCTAAGCTTTCTTTTTTGTTTTCAACTTTATTTTTTGCCTTAAATGTTTATGGTTGATAAAAATTTTTTCTTTTTCATTTTCATTTTAATTTTTATCAGTTTTTATCTGTTAAATTTATTTTTATATATTTTTTTAGCTTTTAAGACTTTTTTTAGTTAATTCTCCCTCAGTTTTCAACAAAAAACCCCAATAAAAATGACGATGAGCAGAGTTTATATTGGCAATTTGTCTTCCCGTGTTACCGACCGAGAGCTTGAACATTTCTTTCGAGGATTTGGAAAAATACGTGATGTAATGTTAAAAAACGGATTTGGATTTGTGGTTTATTTTTTAATTTTTTGAGCATTTTTTAAATTTAAATTAAAGGAATTTGACGACTACCGTGATGCTGAAGATGCTGTGTATGAACTAAATGGACGTGAACTTTGTGGGCATAGAGTTGTTGTGGAAATTTCTCATCGTTAGTTTTTTTTGTAATATCTTTAAGGGAGTAGAGAGTTTGTTGAGGTTTCCTTAGTGTTAGTTTTGTTAAATGTCCTATCGTTTAGCCTCCAATAATCTTTTAAATGGATGACGAATATGTGTTCCGTAGTGTAGTGGTATTGTTCATGAGTACAATATCTTCGATGGAGGTTCGAGTCCTTTGGCCTCGAACTTTTTATTCTTCCCATTTTCAGTATTTATTTTCATCAAGTTTAACTTCTGCAAATTTATTAGGATTTTTTATTTTCTATAGAGATTATTCTGCCTACAAGATCATTAATAAGAATGATTCGTGTTTGAAAGCCTAAGCCCGGTCCCTGGTGCATATATTAACATTTTCATAATTATCTTTATTGGGCTTATTTTGTATTTTTCAGGTTCTCAGCAACAACAACAATATCGAAGTGGAATGCGATCGTAAATTATTCTTTTTATCCTTCGTTTGAAAATATCCTTTTTAGCCGTGACGGTCGTGTTAATGGACGTTTTCCTCCGCCGAGAGAGACACGTCATCGGATGCGTGTTACTAATTTGTCAACCCGATTTTCTTGGCAGGTTTGAAAAAATTTTATTTTGGATTTATTTTTGTGAGTTAAACTGGGCCAGTTTACCGTGAGCTCCTCGTACCGCATTATCTTAACTTACCCCAGAAAAGGACAAGGTTCGTACCGGGTCATCCAACGCGGTTTGTATGTCTCGGATGCCTACTAGAATTGTCCATATTGACTCTCACAAGTAAACCCTTTCTAATTACAAGCCTCTTACCCGGTAGACTGGGCTGTAGTAGAGTAGAGTATCCGTTAAAATATTTTTTTGGTTATTTTGTTTAAATAAGGTGAAATTAGAATGGCGGCTCTTGAATCCGCAATCACTCTTTTTGGTCTTGGCCTGACAAAATTGTGGCTGGCGGAGTTTTCACACTTCGCCCTGCCATTCCTTCACTCAAATCTTTCTCATGAGAGGGCCGTTTTACTCTTTCTGTGTCCCTTTTGCTGGCCTACTCTGGCTTGCATATGCTTTTGGAAAAACACAAAAATAAAAACAATTTGGCCTTTGCTTGAAAAAATTTGGTGAAAAAAATTTTCAAAATTTAAATTGGTGAAGGAGAGTGTAAAAAATTTACCCAAAAAATAGGCAAAAACTTGAGGGAAAAAAGTTTTGATTTGAAGACATAAATACTGACAGGCCGTCGGTATAAGTAACAGCAAAGGCTAAAATTTATTTAAAAAATCTGATGGATCTGCTGGTTGGACTTCAAATTTACAAGTTTTTTTCTAATCAGCGGCCTGTCTGTTTTTTAATATTTTTTAAAATTTATTAATTAAATTTAAATTTTTTCCTTTTTAGGACCTAAAAGACATGATGCGGGATGCAGGCGAAGGTTTTTTTTCTTCCAAAAATTTTTAGAAAATTTTCAATTTTTTTAGTTACTTATGCTGATGCCCACAAAAGAGTTCGAAATGAGGCGCTAGTTTGTTTTGCTACACATGATGATTTGCGCCGAGCAATGGACAGATTTCAAGGTTATTGTTTCAAGGTCTAATGTTGGAATTAGGTTACTCCGTCCTTTCTGAGATTGCCATATTTTCTGCTTTTAACTTAACTGCTTGGCAATTCTTCCTTTTCAGTGGGCAACGATTTAAATAGTTTCCGGACTGGATCCGGCCAGATTTTTTTAGGGTCCGGGTTCTAAATTTGGGTTTTCGGAATCCATTCGGGCCGGCGCCGGTCACTAGTTAAAATCGATACGCACACTTGACAGGAAGTAACAAAAAAAGAAAGGGGGGGGGGTTTCTGGTTTAAACTTGAATACTTTTTTTCAACTTTATGTTCCGACTTTTGAAATTTCCATTTCCCTTGATTCTTATAATCTTATTGTTGTGTTTTAACACATTCTATTATTATTTTTTTAAAGGCAAAGAAATCAATGGACGCCGTATAAAGCTTATTGACGATTCCTATAATGGTGGAGGACGTCGTTCATATTCTCGTTCGCGTTCTCGATCGCCTCGTAGCCGTTCACGCAGTCGTTCATACTCGAATGACCGTCGTTCTACTTCTGCACGTTCACGTTCGCCACCTCCAGAACCATCTCGTTCGCGAAGCACTTCACAAGTTCCTGGTATATTTTTTAATTTTATAAGATGGGGAAATTCTGAGGAAAGAATTAGGGATATTCATTAATGGTTATTAAGAGTAGGAGGAGGGATTTTGTTTCGGGCATGTATTTATCGAGTCGGATAACAATTCGAAGTGGAGTTCCTTTTCTCTGTTTGAGACGGGAACATGCCGTAGTACTAAACGTCGAAATTCCAACCCCCTTGAAAGATGTCAAAATACCAAACTGGAAGAATACAAATATATAGGATGGGTCGAATTATTAGGAAGGTTGTTAACAATTCACATTTTGGCGTGGCGTTTCTTTTGGAGGTTTGGTATTTCGTCGTTTGGTATTACGGCATACCATTCGGGACTTCGTTAATCCTTTAAACTTTAAATTATTTTTTAGCTAAAAATGCTGATGATGCTGAGAGTATCGAGAAACGAAGCCGCTCTCGTTCTGCCTCGGTTGGATCGGAAAAGAATTGAAAAGAAGATTGTGAATAAAATGAGAAGGAAAAATAATGATTTATAATCAACTTCTGCTATTCTTATTTTTGTTTAATTAGTTCCAATTAAAATTTCCTTTATTATTCATTTGTTTAAAATCCGTTTATTTAGGGTGAATATCTTTTAATTTTCTCAGAGTTGAAGCAAGTAGAGAAAAATATGATGTAAGTGGAGGTTTACAGATATAAAATTTTTATAAATGACATTTTGTCCCTTAATTCAGAGAAAAATGAGAAGAAAAATTGGCGTATCCCCTCAAAATCTCTATTCCTTAAAATCTCTACTGGGCTAAAATGCCTTATAATCTCTACACAGCTAAAATGCATTAAAATCTCTACTCGGCTAAAAATTATTAAAATAACTATTCCTTAAAATCTCTATTCCTCATAATCTCTACACGGGTAAAACGCCTTAAAATCTCTACACGGCCAAAAATAGGATAAAATGTCTATTTTTTCATTCGGAAGCCTTTTGAGTGCCAACGTTCAGTGCGGAAACGTTGTTCTGATTTCTGGCTTATCTTTTGATATTATTTTGCTTGTATTGTTTTTGCCGCTGCGGATGAACCCAGGCATGTCCAGCGGAACGACAGCAGCCGCTTCGATACGATCACCGCAAGCAAAATGAACACGACCGCAGCGAAGCAGTCGTGTATTATATCTTCGATATTTACGGCGGATACAAGCAGATATCTGCAGCCATTTTTAAATCAATTGTATCCATATCCGTATCCATTACCAAGTCTGGGTTTTCCAATGAAAAGTTCATATTTTACACTTTTGTTGAGACTCTACCATCCATTTGCACGGTGTAGAGATTTTAATTATTTTTACCCCAGTAGAGATTTTAAGGAATAGTTATTTTAAGGAATAGAGATTTTAAGCATTTTTAGATTAGTAGAGATTTTAAGGAATAGCGATTTTAAGGAATAGAGATTTTGTATGGGAGCCAAAATTGGGTTAGAGAAATATATTAAATATCAATGGTATGGTCGGTTGAGTGCCAAAACTGAGAGCGAGATAGCTACTGTATTGATGAGACTTAATATGATCGAAAATATTTATAATCAATAAAACGGGTCTCTCCATGATCTATAGTCTATATTATGAAATCTTTGAAACAATAAGCGATATATTTAATAGTTTGCAAGTTATTCAGATCCATGAAAATTTTTGCATAAAAGCAAGTTTTTTAACTACTTGGCCTTCAATATGATAAGTCAATCCTGTTGGTGAAAATATTCAAAGTTAATCGGTCTCTTAACCCCTTTTTGGCCGTTACGGTCTTTTATTGCACCGGTCTTTTAATAATCGGTCTTTTAACTTCCTACTGCCGTTCCGGTCTTTTATTGAGACGGTCTTTTAATAATCGGTCTTTTAACTTCCTACTGCCGTTCCGGTCTTTTATTGAGACGGTCTTTTAATTTATCGATCTTTTAACAACCTTAGTCTGTTCCGGTCTTTGGGTATTGTGACTTATAGGGGGTTTTTTTGGCTGGACCGATTTCGACAAATGAGGTGTCATTCGAAAGAGCTCGCCGAGCTGAGTCGATCGCGGGGGCAGAGAAGTCGATCCGACAATCAGGGACCGAGATACAGACCTCTGAAGTTTGAAAAAGAGAAGGGGGGAGTAAGCTCAATCTGGGATGAAAAATTCGAAAATGCAAATAATAGCTCATTCGACTCAGCTCGACGAGCTGAGTCGAATGACACCAAAATCACCGAAATCCGACTTGATTTGACAAAGTTATGATCGTTTGTTTTATCTCCTTACCTATGGTCATTATTGAGGTTTTTGCTGCTACGGAGGCCCCAAGTACGTCCAGAGTAAGGGAGATAGGAATAGGTTTATGTTACTGACCCAGACCCAGCGCCCGTAGACTCCCCGCGAGGCGCGTGCCGCGAAACCCCGCGCGAAGCGCGGGGTTTCGCACAAGCGCCTCGCCGACGCTCCATAGGTTTATGTTGACCATTTTTAACCTTTTTATCTTGGCTCAGAATCATGATATCGAGCTGATTTTGGTGTCATTCGACTCAGCTCGTCGAGCTGAGTCGAATGAGCTATTATTTCCATTTTCGAATTTTTCATCCCGAAATGAGCTTACTCCCCCCTTCTCTTTTTCAAACTTCAGAGGTCTGTATCTCGGTCCCTGATTGTCGGATCGACTTCTCTGCCCCCGCAAGTTCAAACCATTTTATATAACAAAAATAAAAACCCAAAATTTAAAACAAAAAATAACAAAAAAAATTTAAAAAATAAAAGATTAACACTAAAAAATTCAAAAAAGGATTGTTGTAGAAGCACCACTTTGCTTGTAATCCATTGATTTCCGTCTTGTTATTGCTGTTCCTGTTGATGTTGTTGCTGGGAATTGTTCAAGTCTGAAAGAAAAAAGGAATTTTGCGTTATTTTAGACCCCATTTCAAGCTTAATATCTCCGTAAATTTGTGATAAAAGAGGTAGATTGGAGGAGGATTACACAAAATTTTCCTCCTTATACACAAAATTTTCCTCCTAAAGTATATAGAGGTGCCCTACAAAGTTTAAAGAAAACAGCCTGTTACAAACATAAAACAAAAGGTCAACTGTTCTTGGAGGAATACGAGTTGTCCCCGAAGAGCTTAGACGATGCTGGGACAACGGAAAAATACAGATACATTCAATTGTATCAGTAATTTGAGAACCCCAACCCATTCAGAAATTCACTCAAAAAACCCCCTCAACTAAAATAAATAAATTACCATTGTCTCAATCACGCCTTCCTCCCCTTGCAAAAATCCACAACCAAAGGATGCCCAATTCTTGTTTGTCTCAGCCAGGATCGTCCAACCAGCGAGTGTGTCCATCCATAGTTGAACATGTTAAAAAAATTTTTTAAAAAGAATTCTTAAACTTATTAAATAACCTTTCACTCCTAGTTTTCAGGATTGTTGTAGAAGCACCACTTCGCTTGTAATGCCCATCTTGTTGTTGCTTTTTCTGTTGATGTTGTTGCTGGGAATTGTTCAAGTCTGAAAGAAAAAAAGGATTTAGTGTACTCTTGGATCTCATTTCAAGATAATATTTGCGTAAATTTATTGATAAAAGGGGTAGATTGGAGGGGGATTACACAAAATTTTCCTCCTTATCCTACCTAAAGTAAATATATAGAGGTGCCCTACAAAGTTCAAAGAAATCAGTCTGTTATAAATAGAACAAAGGGTCAAGTGTTCTTTGAGGAATACAAGTATGTCCTCGGAGTTTAGACGATGTTGGGACAAGGAAAAAAAAACAGATACATTCAATTGTATCAAAAATTTATCCCAAAACCATTCAGAAATCCTTCGAAAAACCCCTCAACTAAAAAAATAAATAAACTACCATTGTCTCAATCACGCTTTCCTTCCTTTCCAAAAATTCACAACCATAAGCCGCCAATTCTTGCTTCTCTCCGCCAGGAACGCCCAACCAAGAAGTATGTTCTTCCGTAGTTGGACATGTTAAAAAAAATTTTTTTAAGAATTCTTAAACTTATTAAATAACCTTCCAATCCTAATTTTCAGGAGTATGTTGTTGTAGGCCAGAGCAACATCAAAAAATTGTCCAACGGGTCGTCGTCACTCAAATCTAAAAGAAAATAATTATTTAATGAAAAATTAAAAAGGAAAACCCTCAAAGAGTATTGAACCCGTGACCTATTCTCATATAATCAACAACGCTACCAACTGTCATTACGAAAGGCCTTCAAATTTTTTCCCCATATACAAATGTGAATTTTGAATTTAGGGATCCAATTCTAGTCATTAAATTCAAAAGACCCGAAAAAAGATTAATAACCTTTCAAACTTCATAAATGCTCATCTACAAGCCAAACACACGCAAAATTGCAATTGTCGTCTTGTTGAAGCGAATGCTTGCCAGTTGTCCTCTGTGTTGTAGAATGTTGTGGTTCAACCGTTTAGCCATTTCCTAAAAAAACAAATTTTATTTCATCCAGACAAAAAAGAAAAACCTGAACGAACTCTGCCGCCTCTCTTCTATATTTAAGTTTAGCAGCAGAATCCATTGACATTCTTGATGGAAGCCTAGCAAGCTCATCGTCCGCGAAATACCATTTTGGTTTCTTTCCAAGTTTCAGTCATCTTTCAAGATCCATGCTGAAAGCTCTAAAAATGTTTAAAACCCCTTCCCTTTACCAGACAATTGCTAAACACGGTACTAATTTAGTTTCCCCCCCCCCAGCCAGTTTTTTCGAAAATTATGTAAAAATGGTCAGTCTGAACAACAATTGTAGAACCCATCGAGCTGTGTCGAATGACACCAAAATCAACAAAATCCGACTTGATTTGACCGAAATACAGACCCCTGAAAATTGAACAACAATGGGGTGATTTTTCGAAATAAAAAAAAGTTTACCCAAATGAAGCTCATTCGAAAGCACTCGTCGAGCTGAGTCGAATGACACCAAAATCAACGAAATCGGACAAGATTTGACAAAGTTATGACATTATTTAGACCTACCGGAGTCGACGACTTATGTCATAACTTTGTCAAATCAAGTCGGATTTCGTTGATTTTGGTCTCATTCGACTCAGCTCGACGAGCTCTTTCGAATGAGCTATCATTTGTATAGATTTTCGTCTTTATGATTTTGTGCCCCTGTGGTTTAGGGGTCTGTATTTCGGTCAAATCAAGTCGGATTTTGTTGATTTTGGTGTCATTCGACACAGCTCGATGGGTTCTACAATTGTTGTTCAGACTGACCATTTTTACATAATTTTCGAAAAAACTGGCTGGGGGGGGGGGGGAAACTAAATAAGTACCCTAAACACTTCATAATCAAATTTTGAAAAGAGGATTTACAACGGATTAACTCAGGGATTGTTTGCGGACAAAACTTGCTTGTGTAAAAAAAAGAGCAAAAAACAAACCTTTAAATTTTTAAAAAGATTCCATGGACGTCCAAAGTGCTCTGATGATTTTGCTTCTTCTTGTTTCTTGTTCTTCTTTTTGTTGATTTTTTTGTTCTTTTTCTGTTGAGTTTTGTTCTTCTT